CTCACCTTCAATCTCTGAAATCTTCTTCTCCGTCTCCTTCTCCATCACCTTCTGCCCGTAGGTGATCTCGGCAACCTGAGCCACCTTTTCTGCCTCTGTATGAATGAAGTTGAGAAAAACTTGGAGCCCTGGTCTTTCAGTTCGGCTGATTTCACCTGATCTGACTGCCCCGGCCCATGGAGGGGGTAAGCATAGCTGGAGAGCCCCTGCTCCCAGAGAGCAGCTGTGATGGACACACGCGGGCAGAAATGGGATGCGCCGGTGAGCACAGTCCCACCGTCAGCACAAGACAGTGACCGAGAAGACCTGGGCCCAAGGGAGGACGAACGAGCCCTAACTTCTCTCCTGAGTCCCAGGGTACTTCTCTGTAAGGAATATTGTGAAGAGTACGGTATTCTATGGTAAGTTTCCACCTGGCATTTCATTTTAGAAAGTAGTCCGGTTGGTTGTTGATAATACAGTGCAGCAATCAAGAATACCAGCTCTAGAGCCAGAGTCCCTGGATTTGAACCCCACTTCTGCCACTTACTTGCCATATGAGCTTGGACATGTTATTTTCCCTCCCTGTGCTTCAGGTCAATAAAATGAGGTTAATGATAGCACCGTAACCACCTTGCACGGTGGTTGTGAGGACTGAGTTAATTCACATATTGTGTAATTAGAAAAGCACCTAGCTCATAGTAGGTGCTCCGTAAGTGTTAGCCATTATTACTATGAATTAAGAATTTACAGGGAAGGCTTCTTTCACCTAAGAGATATGTGGAAACTCAAAGCTCATTACCCCGGCCACAATCTGACAATTTCGACTTTGCTTCTGGGCGTGTGAATGCCACTCCTGCGCTGTGGAAATGTCTGGAGGACTATGTGCTCTAACCACACCCGGGCCTTCCTTGCATCTTCCCACCATGCCCAGCCCTTCCGCCCTGCCAGGGGGAGCAGAGAACCACATCCAGACCAATGAGGGCCTTCTTCCGCTCCGTCTCCGCTTCCTTCTCCACCACCTTCTGTTTCTGGGCTGCAATGAGCAGCTTTGTCTTCTCGCTTTCCCTAAAGGGGAAAAAGTATGCAGCTGTGAGGCCGTATGGAGAAGCTTCTGAGGAACTGCACTGTCCCCTGGAGAAGTCAAACCCTTCCGCTGAGGACAGGCAAACTGCGATTTCTTGCTCTCTCCTAGAAGGCTGTTCCATGGCCCAGGTAAAAACTGATCCATTGCAGACAGTAACATGGTTCTTCTCCTCCTCCAAAGTAACTCATTTGCGGGAAATAAAACATAATTTACTTTAGTAAAATACACCTGCCTGTCCACTCACTCGTCTCTCCCTCCTATCTCCCCTTTGGCATGAGCCACTGACACAAACAAGGCCCCCTGGCCCTTTTAAAAGCCTTGCTGCTCTAAAGGGCCCCTCCTGGGGTTCTCAGTCGTGATTAAGGAGCCCCAGGGACGGGCCTGACACGCCTGTTCCATCTCACAGTGCAGCGGCTACAGCAGATACTCAAGCAAGGGAACAACTGAAGCCTGGCCCAGCTCCAGTTAATTCTGGGATGGGATGAGGGGGGAGGTGGAAGAGCGGTGGCCAGGGCGCAGGCGTACTCACATCAACTCGTAGTTTCTGCGGATCGCCTCGGGTATGTTGGGCTTAGTCACCCGCACAGCCTGGAGAAGGATAAACATAGCGACTGATGGGAGAGCAAGGGTGGTGAGGGATGTAAGTAGGCCCCCCTGGGCCTTGATCTTCCTGCACAAAAGGCCATCCCTTGGAAGAGGGGCCACAGTGTCAGAGAGGGCACTCCCCATGGTGGCAGAGCTTACCTGGATGACAAGTCCAGGGGCCATGGAGGTCAGGTCCTGTTGCAAAGCCAGTTTGAGATTTTCATCAATCTGATCTGGAATCAAGAAAGACACAGAAAAAGGAGTCGTTACACCTCCCAGACAGGGGCGAGGGCAGTCTGCGGGTAAAGGGCAAGCTGAATCACCAGCTCAAGCATGCACCCTGTGGGCAAAAGGTCTTCCTAAGGTAGGGTACTTGTCAAAGTCCAGAAATCTCAAGACCCTCTGCAAGACTTCTGGAGCAGTGTGCCTAGCAGCCCTCTGTACAGCTAAATGTAAGGACGTCCTTTTTCTGTGGCCTTGGCATAAAAGATAAAACCAACTTTGTTGTTGAAAATATCAAATATGCCATACAGGGGATCTGAGCTAAAAAACAAAAAACAACAAACAACAATTCTAGCACATTTCTTGAGCGAGGCAGCAGCCTTTCTCCAGACAATAGCAGCAAGAGAGAAGGCAGGCTCACAGTCTCCACGAAGAAGGAAGGTGGAATGGCTATGTTAGGTCTTTTGAAAAGAGCTGAGCATATTAATGCTAGTAATTTTAGAAGTTTCTAAAAGAAAAACAGACTCTGACGTCAAGGAGAGCCCCAGTGAAGACTGTTTCTATTAGGAACTCCATCAAACACCACAAGGGGAACATTAAAATTTACAATTCTGGACACAAGCCCAAGTCTTTTGATGTGCTGTTTGCTTTGGTCCTGATTCCTCTGTCTGGAATTCACATGTGAGTCGTTTCACAGGCAAGTGTAGGAGCAGCTATAACTGGGTCCCCCCACCTCCCTCCAGCTGTGCTCTCGGAACAGCAGCACCAAAGCTGCCTTCTCTGGCCAGGCCTTCTCGGCGTTTTATAGCCCTCCTCCCTGCCTTCTGCCCAGGAGCTTCTCAGTAAGATCCCGGGAGGGTTCAGAGAAAAGACTGGATGAAAACAGGCTGAGACGTGTGAATTGAATCACCTTCCTCATTGTCAGCTGCCATCTGCTTTAAGGGGACCTTTCTTGGTCACCTGTGCCCAAGCAAAAGCCTCTGAGGAAGAACAAGTCTCCTTCCTTCTACAGAGGCTAAAACTGATGCCCATGAAAGCTAGGTAGTAGCCAAAATAATACACTTGTTTTATTACTATGCTTTGATTGTCAGGATTTTAAAACAGTATATGAGTAAGCAAGGGACTGTAATGTTTCTCCGTATTGGATATGCCCTCACAAGCCTCTCAGCATGGAGGGAGAAATGTCATAAAGTCAGCATTTCCCACCTCATAGGGGTCTAACAATTTAACAACTGGAAATAAATACTATTTCACATTATGTCATTTTTTTTTTTTTTTTGAGATAGTCTTGCTCTGTCACCCTGGGGAGACTGCAGTGGCGTCATGATAGCTCACTCCAACCTCAAGGTCCTGGACTCAAGTGATCCTCCTGCCTCAGCCTCCTTAATAGCTGGGATTATCGGCACAGGCCACAATGCCCACAACGCCCAGCTAATTTTTCTATTTTTAGTAGAGACGGGGTCTTGCTCTTGCTCAGGCTGGTCTCAAACTCCTGAGCTCAAGCGATCCTCCTGCCTCAGCCTCCCAAAGTGCTAGGATTATAGGCATGAGCCACCGCATCTGGCCCATATTTTGTCTTTTAAATAGAATACCAACCAAACTTTAAGCTAGATGGCCTGTACCCTTCATAAGTTAACAACAGAAGTCATTCATCAGACCAAATTTATATCTGTGTCAAGGCGGAAACCTGTGGCTCTGGGTTAGTAACCTCCTGGGAAAATCTGGAAGAAATATTTTACAAGGTATTTTAGTAATACTGATAATAAGTTGTTAATATGGTAATATTGATAACTGTTGTTTAAGTGGTATTACTAAGTAAACACAGAGAGGTCCTTCAGGTAAACTTAACAAGTATTAGATAATAATTTTATAAAATGGGCAAAGAGGATGTATCAGAAAGAAATGAGGAAACTTAGTATTTTAGAAGTGATGAGTTAGTATTTTAATATTCTCTTCAGGGACATTAGAGATCCTTTGTCTTCTACTATTTCAAATGCTTTCAAATGTTCATGTAATGACACAAGTCCTAAAACAATGGCTAGAGAGAAAATTAGTATTTTATAAAATTCTGTTAGTTTGAGGTAAAAAAAAATTAGCAAATTTACCAGTGTTTTCTGAAAAGCAGACTGAATCCAAAACTGATAAAAGACTACAAACTCTATAAAATGAATTTAGATTCATTTTCTACTGCAGAAAAATTAAAAGTGATTCTAATGATTTCCTAAATCTTAAACAGTGCAAAAGGCTGTTTGTTTAATTATGATCACTAGCAATGTTGATGATTTCTCCTTCTGTCTACTATAAAAAATGTTCTCACTCAGGATCCTTTTTATGAAGATTCCTGGGAAAAATCACTGTCTAGTCCTAGTATCAAGAATAGCCATATTAGGCCGGGCGCGGTGGCTCACGCCTGTAATCCTAGCTCTCTGGGAGGCCGAGGCAGGCGGATTGTTTGAGCTCAGGAGTTCGAAACCAGCCTGAGCAAGAGCGAGACCCCGTCTCTACTATAAATTAGAAAGAAATTAATTGGACAACTAAAAATATATAGAAAAAATTAGCCGGGCATGGTGGCACATGTCTGTAGTCCCAGCTACTCGGGAGGCTGAGGCAGGAGGATCGCTTGAGCCCAGGAGTTTGAGGTTGCTGTGAACTAGGATGACACCACGGCACTCTAGCCCGGGCAACACAGTGAGACTCTGTCTCAAAAAAAAAAAAAAAAAAAAAAAAAGAATAGCCGTATTATTGGTTGAAAAATTAATTTACTTTTAGCATTAGCTACTAGAAAATTTCTAGCAGCAAGTTTAAACAGAATATTTTACCACAAAAGAGTTGTAACAATTACTGCAATGTTTCCTTCCTTTGCCACTGAAGTCAGGCTGCGTTTACTCTGCCCAGGTGAAACGGACGAAAGGTATGTACTTAAGCACACGGATCCGTTTTGTTTAAAACATTTTCCTATTTATCTCTACAGGTACAGGGTAAAAAAAAAAATCACAAAGGTTCTAGGAACTGTTAGGAGCTATGGTTCTCATCTCGCTTCTAGACTTATCTGGAAACCATACCCTTCTCATCACCCACACTGGGTGCCCTCCGTTCTGTGTGGAGTGGTGAAAACAGTACTGAAATAAGAGTCAGGAGACGAAAGTCCCAGCTTCGGCTCTGCCATCAGCTAGTGACTAGCTCTGTGGCCTTCTCACTTTGGGCTGCAGGACCCTTATCTTAAAATGAGGATGTTGGGTTGGACAATCTCTAAGGTTTTTCTACAACTGCCCTTGTCTTCATTATAGAATGATGTTTCAGGGACAGTGGGAACAGATTTCCATTCCAGTCCCCTGATTCAGGCCAGAAGTGATACTCTATTCCACTATTATTTTTGTGGCCAAAGCTCAATCACTCTAAGGATCTTGTTCCATTGTCATCAACGTTTGCCAGCGACTCCCTCTGTGACCAGTTCTGAGCACCAGATTCTGTCCAGAAGTCCCCACCCTACCCTGTGGGTTGCTCAGAATCAGGCAGTGGGGAGAAGTAGGCTGCTCAGCACGGCATGATCAGGACAGACTTTCTTACCGAACAGCTCAATGTAGACCTCCTGAAGCGTATGTACACTGCAGAACTGGTTCAGTTCGTGGTGGATCTTGTTGAAGATGAGGGCCTTGTCATAGTCGGCAGTATAGTTCTTCACTATATCATACACTGGGAAGGAAGGGGAGGGTTCAGCATGAGAAAGGGCAAGACTCAAAACTTTCTCAGACAAAGCAGGTCTCCGTTGCTGAGGTGCCACGACAGATCCGGGGGTGGTATGCTGGGTGAGAAAAAAACTGGAAGACCTACCTGCGTTTGGAACCAGGAAGTTCACCACTTCAATTCTGTCAAAGTAGATCATCACACCACCACTGTTGGAGGGAAAATGGACAAAGAAGTCACTAGAAGCTCTGGAATATGGTGTAGTCTCCTGAAAGAGTTCACAGGAGGTTGGAAGGCATCTTGGATCTTCAAGTAGGAGATCTTTAGAGCTTACAGCAATAACGTAATCTCCCAAGAAATCACACTGCCTAAAAATACCTCCACAAAGACACAAGTGAGACTTTTGGGGTGTCAGTATGAAAAGAGTAGTTCATATCTTTTGAATCAGCAATGCAATCAATTGCAGGGAAAAGACCTTTAAAGAAGGTCAAGAAGTTTTCAGAACTTACAAGGCCACTGTGGAATTCTGCAGTCAATATTTCTCACACTGTTGTCACCGTCACTTTAGTTAAGCATTCCCTTTGCCCTCAAATATCATACAAAGAATTTCAAACATACAGAAAGGCTGAAAGAATAGTACAACTGACACCCATATACCAGCACTTAAATTCAACATTGACGACATTCTACCTTATTTATTGATCTTTTTTTGTTGAACATTTCAAAGTAAGTTGTAGTATGATACTTTACTCCTTAACACTTTAGCCAGCACTGCCTAACAATAATCACATTCTCCTACATAATCATATCATTTCCAAACTTAAGAAAATTAGCAAAACTCCTTAACTTTATCTAATACCCAGTCCTTATTCAAATTTCCCCAGTAGTTCCTGTTATGGACTGAATCGTGTACCCCTGCCCCCCACTTCCTATGTTGAAGCCCTAACCTGCAATGTGACGGTAGTGGAGACAAGGCTGTTAAGAAGTTAATTAAGGTTAACAGGACTGGTGTCCACCAGACATCTTTTTCTCTCTTCTTGCACAAACAGAAGAAAAGCCACGTGATGACGCGACAAGAATGTGGTCATCTGCAAGCTAGGAAGAAAGGTCTCACCAGAAACTACGCCTGCTGGCACCTTGATCTGGGACTTTGGGAATCCAGAATGGTGACAAAATAAGTATCTGCTGTTTCAGTTTCCCAGTATTCCGTTAGGGCAGTCTGAGCAGACTCACATAGATCCCATC